CCTTCTTCCTGTAACCACATCCTGGGTAACTTTTCAGGTGCTCGCATGCATTTTTCTCCCTGAGCAGTGACAACATTTTGTCCTGATAGTCTTTCTGGATTAGAAAAAGCATGCGCCTACCTTTGTCTGCCGGAAGGATGATGATGTTGTTGTCATTACTAAGTGATGTGAGTGACTTCCTCTCCTCCATGCTGATGTTGCTGGGGGATGCTGGGAGCTCTTCATCACTGAGACAGCCTGAAACTTCCGTCCGCAGTTGCTCTGCTTCCACGTCTGCAATGTTGTTGTTTTGAATTGCTGATTCTGGGCTGTGATCAGTTTCACTCGTGGGATTTGTCTCGGCATCACAGCAGGGGAGGGTTTTTTGCTGCTCTTTAACAATGATTTCTCCATAAGTGACGCCTTCAGTTCTCACTTCTAGATCGATTGGAGCTGAATCACTCTCTGTGCAGTAAAACAACGACAGGACATCAGTGCATGCAGTGCAGCTGCAGAACTTATTGTATAGTTTTGTTTTTTTGTTTTGTTTTGTTTTGGGGGGGTTTTGGGGCGGGGTTTCTGTTTCAGAATTTTTTACACAATAAACAATTTGGATGTAAATATAATATTTAAAAACACTGATGACTGAAAATACAACAGCTCATCTTCAGGATCTATGTATGTATGTATCTGGTCAGCATCAGGATGTTACACAAACTACCAAATACTAAACTTTATAAAACTTTAAAACAGTTGAAAATAGATACAGAGATTAATTTAATTTGAATTAATTAAAACATATTCTTTTAATTTTCCTGTTACAACAAAATACTTTTGTTCTCTTTGAGCCCTCTTCTATTATAAAATCAACCATACTCAGATTCAGGAAAATTAAACATTAAACTAAAATCAGCATATTGGAGAGGTTAAGGTCAGCGAACATGTCTTCACAGTCATGAGGAAATACATTCTAAAATGTTGCTGCATTTAAAGTTTTCCTTCACTGTATTAACAAACCATACAAAAAGTCTGAGCACCAGTTTTGGTGAGTGAAATTCTAGGATATATTTTAATGTTAATTAGCTCTAATTAGCATCTATCTGTGCCTGTGTGATGCTCTCATACAGTCTATGTATTTAGTGCAAAAGTCAAGCTATGTAGCACTTTCCTAAATGTAGTCCCTTCTGGTTCTAGAAACCAACACTTTCCTGAAGTGTTCACATTTTATAAAATAATGCTTCTCCTGACATTCAAATCTCACAACCACAAAACCCAGACCCCAAAAGACAAATTAGAAGCAATATTACCTCTGCTTTGGTCGACTGACTGTTGTTGACACTGTAATATTCTGATGTCGCTGTATGTGATGTCATCTTTAATGTCATCTTCCTCAGCTTTGTCATGATCTGCTGAAATGATCAAATGTAAGTGCAATTAGTGCAATTTACTGTAAAAATTCAATATGGAATTTTATTTATGAAAAAACTTGCTGTAAACTTATTTCTATATTTTATTGTATTGTAACAATTATTATTTGCATGTGCAGAGAATGTAAATAAAAAAAACATATATTCATAATAAGAGTAGATTATTCAGGAAAATAAAACCACATGTAAAACTGACAGTGTGAGTCTCACCTTCAAGTTTCCTACCAATGTATCTTCTCACCAGTAACACCAGTAACACCAGCAGAACCGTAAGAGTAGATGATGTAAAAAATGACAACACAAAGACAACAGGAGGAGAGAGTGATGGAGCAGAGTTGGATGTAGGTGGAGGTGTGGTGGTGTGATTCTCTAAAATAAAGCAAACACAGTCATTAAGTTGTCGTCACATTGTGAATGTTGAAAGCTGCAGAAACACAGACAGGTGAGTGTGTCACCTGTGACAGTGATCCAGCATGTTCTTTACTGACCTTGGTTTGTTGTGCAGCTCAGCAGTGAGATCAGAACTGAACAGAAATGACACTCAGGTTGATTTAACTGAACATGAAGAACAGGTCCACATAAACCAAAAACTTGTGTCTTCTATATCTGCTTATTTTTACTTTGGTGCCAGTCATGACTTTCAATACATTTTGGGCAACAAAGAACTGAAAAAGTGTGCAATGCTTATGTCGCAGCTTTAAGGCAGGGATGACTATGGGAGTTGCTTTCTCACTTCATATGCTTTATTTCCAAAATCAGGTCATTGACAAAAACATACAGCAGCTTCTCTTCAACTCCTAGCCCTCAGCTGCAGTGGAAAAGAACGGATCCAATCCCCTGCAAGGAACATACGTACAAAAGAGTCTTTTCTGACACACCAATGGGGCGTTCAATGCCGTCTTGTAAATATGACTACTCTGGCAGAATAACAGTCCAAATGAAAAATATACCAGAACAGACAAGCAAAAAAAGAGGTGTGGTGTACCTTTGAACCAATGAATAATGTATAACAATTTATACTTTTTAACATAACCTGACCCCGTCAATATCTGTATCTCTCACACTTAATCAAAAAAAATGGTAAAAACATAAATAAATAAATATTAATAATGACTTAACCTTAACATGTATTTGGAATGTTGGGGGAAACCTGGAGCCCTAATGAACCTTTTCATCCATCAAGTTTCAACAACTTGTTTTTTTATCTTTGGATTTTCTATTTATTAATATTTCTCACGACATGAAAGTATCCATGCAGTTGAGCCTCATCATGGTCTTTTACCACAGTTTGAGCTGTTTATAAAAGCAGCACTGAAAGTGATCATTATGATTATGTGCACCACTGACTATACTTTAAGTATAGTCCATCATCAGTTATCAGGAGAGCAGACAGTCAAAGTACAAGAATTCAAACAAACACAGAGATTCTACTTACAGAGCAGACACAGCACAGATGTTTCCTTCATCGTCCTTCTCACTCATTTGAGCTTTTTTCATTTCTGTCACTGACACCAAGTAAAGCCCGCCCTCTTCCTCTGAGCACCAGCTTTTCTTTTAATTGAAACACAGTGGAAGGAAGTATCCTTTGTGTGTGATCAAACAATTTAAAGACATGAATGTAACCAGGCTATAGTTGTTGTTGTTTTTTTTTGTTTTTTTCTAAACATTTGGAAAGTCCACTCTCATTTAAAACTGCAACACAAACACAAAAGGCAAGACCAGTAAATTAAGGCCATTGTAGCTAATTACATAAACACATACAAGCAAGTAGTGGTGCAACGGATCACGGTTGATCCGTAATCCAAACCAATCCCACTCCACGGTTCGGCACACACGTGATCGGAAGATTCGAAAAAGAAGTATGTGTATGGTGCGCGTGGTCAGTCTGTCAAGCGATAGTTATGGCCAGCGCTAGCGGAGGAGCAGAGGAGTTTGCGGTATTTAAGCAGCCCTTTTCTGCCCAGTCCGACCGGGCTAAAGCTGTTATTAAAGCTAACGGGGTGTTTAGCAGCATTCGGGAGGCCGCCTTCTGTTGTGCAAAACAAGGGGTTTAAACTAGTCAACGCGTTAGTTGACGCATTGATGCCGTGCAGCCCCAAGCACGGGTGATCCACGGTAACTAGTGCTGTCAGCGTAAATCTCGTTAAAATGACGTTAATGCCGTAACTGCTTTAACGCGGCAAATCTCTGTTAACTAGTTTAAACTATGATGGACGTGCTTGAGCTACGCCATGACGCGCTACATCCTGTTACGCGTCCACTTCAGTGACAAGATCGCAAGCATGTATGAGAAGGAAAAGTTTAAAGTAATGGCTGAACTGTCTCAGGCATCTTCTGTTGCCCTAACTACAAATGGGTGGACCTCCAGGGCAACGGAAAGCTACGTGACCGTAACCACTCGTTATATCACAGCGGAGTAGTAGATAGAAAGCCCTGTACTGCTATATATTGCATGTTAATTTGTTTTTATATAATTGCGTGTAATGAGTCTTGAGTTGAATGTTTTTAGTAGGCAAAAAATACTTAAATAAGTAAATGGCGAGTTAAATTTTTGTCTTCTTTTTTTCTGCTGATCCGAAAATTGATCCGTGACAAAAAAAATGTGATCCGATCCGAACAGTGAGACTTTTGATCCGTTGCACCACTACAAGCAAGTACTACTTTAAGTTGATATTCACTATTATAAATAGAATCAGATTAGAAAATAAAATGTCCTCTGTACTCAGTGATCTGTAGTTTGGTTGATGAACAAATCCATTTCAGACTGACTGGAACACTACGATTCACATTTTATATTAACTCACACGTCTGAATGCTAAATTATCCAGGTAAGAAAATGCCAAAAAGTTCATTCAGTTCATCTGTACGTAGCATTTTCAGTGTGAGAATTTTTTCATCACTCATCCAAGTGACTTCTTCAGTGTCAGCTGACTGCAGGTTTCCCTTATATGTCAGGAGTATCAGAACAGTTGAGACGTAGGTTTGAGCGCTGAGTCAAGGAGGCCATTTACATTAAGAAGTGACAGACCATCTTTGAGTCGAGGAGGGGGCCAGTCAGAATTGCCCCCAAATTTGAGTTTCTAATCATAACAAAGCTGAAACTCAAATTTAGCAAGCTTATACCCAGTGTTGGTCAAGTTACTTGAAAAAAGTAATCAGTAACTAATTACTGATTACTTCACCCAAAAAGTAATCCCGTCACTTTACTGATTACTTATTTTCAAAAGTAATTAATTACTTAGATACTTTTTAAAACACGATTTACAACCTGAATGGGTATAAAGTGATAGATCTTTCAGCCCAATTCTACTTTTTCTACATAACCATCATATAAAATGTAATCAAATGGAAAAGTCTCTTTTTAAAACTTGTTTTATTAGTTTTAATCTTTTAACTTTATGCATCAAGCAAAAATTTAATTATATGCAACATTCTCTGACTGGAAGAAATTTGTTTAACATTTAAACCTATTTTCTGCACATTCCAGCACATAAAATACAATATTTTTTTTGTGTTTACACTCAGTCTTTCAAATAGATGCAAGTAAAACACAGCAGAAAGCACTGTGAGGATCATGTTTTTTGACTTCTCCAGTGCTTCAACACCATCCAACCTGCACTACTGAGAGGGAAGCTGGAGGGAGTAGGCAAACAGCTGACCATGGACCTTACTAACAGACCACAGTATGTGAGGCTCCATGTGTGTCCGAGGTGGTAATCTGCAGCACGGGGGCACCACAGGGCTCTCTCACCTTTCCTGTTCAGCCTTTACACTTCAGACTTCTGTTATAATTCAGACAATTGCTGTCTACAGAAGTACTCAGATCATACAGCCATCATTGGATGCGTATCAGATGGGAATGATCAGGAATACAGGGGGGTCATCAGTGACTTTGTTGGCTGGTGTGAGACCAACGTACTCCAAATCAATGCCGGCAAGACAAAGGAGATGATCATAGACTTCAGCAGGAAGTCACCCCCTACAACACCGGTGAACATCCAAGGGAAAGACATTGAGATAGTGGACTTTGATAAGTACCTGGGTGTTCACCTCAACAATAAACTGGACTACAAATACAGACATCCTGTATAAGAAGGGCCAGAGTGGACTCCACCTGTGGAGTGGACTCCACCTCCACCAGTGGATGCACGGACAGGGACAGGAGCAGGATTGACAAACTGGTGCGGAGGTCTAGCTCTGTGCTGGGATGTCCCCTGGAGTCTGTGGAGGTGGTTGGCGAGAGGAGGATGTTGGTAAAGCTGACATCCATCATGAACAACCCACATCACCCACTGCATGAGTATGTGAGTGGGCTGAGCAGCTCCTTTAGTCAGAGACTGAAACACCCTCGCTGCAGTAAGGAGAACAAAAGTTTATTCATCTGGCAGAGACACATAAGTCAAACATAAATTAAATATAAATATCTGTGATGTTAACAAAAAACAATATATACATTGAACATGTGGATGTCATCTGGTGTGAAGTGCTGGGAGGACTAGTTAAAGACAGCTGGACATCAGTGGTTGGACTGGTGGACTACTTCAGTGAAGAGTAGACGACGTCTGACTTGGGTTTAAAGTCTGAACACAAACACACACAGTTCATATTTGTGTTGGTGTGTGGGAGCTGTAGCCTGTTTGTTTATATTATTAATTGATAATTATGAGACAGTGTTTTTTGGATTATTTTTCAGAGTAACATGAAAATAACGCAGAGTATTATAACAAATGTCTTTCTCCTGGGTGTAGTTAAGTAACGTACTCCATTACTTTAAAAAAGTATTCTGTGTAATATGTGTAATAACTTTTTAAAATCACAGTTTTTCATTACTGACCACAACACTGATCACATGCATGTTGAAGGGGAAATACCTCCAACATGCATAAACATAAACCACTCACTATGTGATTAATTTGCACGAATCTAATGTCTTTGATATGCTGCTTAGCGACGGTGGCGCCTCTCAAAATGGAGCCAATGAGAAGTGAGGAGAAGAAGCAAGGTCCCACAGTGGTTTCACCTAAAACCTGTCGTGACAATGACCCATGCTTTTTTCACACCTAGGCGCATGGGATGACTCACATGGTTAATAGTGGTTTAATAGCCTTCTTAAGAAGCAACTCCTACAGCTAGCTCTGTTGAGAGTTAAAGACAAAGAGCAGCTGTACCTCTGGTCCTCTTTGGCATGAAGGTTATTAGTTCGTAACTAATGTCAGTTCTCCCTGTGCAGCTGCATCAATGTCTGCACAAAAAAAACCACATAAATTACTTCACTGACAACGCTAATAGTATTATACACTTGAGATTTTCATTTTATTTTCCACGTCTTAACACCTGTGCTGTATGAAAGTTGTTGACCAGAAACAGCTGGGGTGTTTGAATGAAAAAGAAGGTGTAACGGATGCAGAAGGCTGATTTTATTTCCAAGGTGTTTTGTGTTTTTTTAAAGGAAGGAAGCCTTCCTCAAACGGGCAGAGCAGTGGAGCCGCCAAGGGAAAGCACACAAATTAAAACTGTATGATTAAAAATATAATTTATTATATTTAAATAGTTAAAAATGTAAAATGAATTAAAACAACCTTGGCCAAGGGGTACCACAATAAAAATCAATAAAACACAACATTAAAAGTCCAGTGGCCTGCGCCACGACCTAAAAGTCCCAGGGAGTTAAGAAATCCAGCGAAGTAAAAGGGAAACCCAGCGGAGTCCTCTCCTTCCTTTCCGCATTCGCGTCTTGATATGCTAGAGAAAGGGAGGAGCGGCAGTCACTATTCTTCCGGCAGTTTTTATTCAATAAAAGGGGATAAGTCGGAGACTTACCCCGGGTGGGCAGAGCTCTCAACTCCACCCGCCGCTTCTTTAAAACTGCAAAGCCACACAGCCGTCTCGTGCCTTCCGCTGGTGCTGTCTCCGCTCTCCCCGCTGGTACTGTCACTCTCTGCACTGGTACTCTCTGCACTGGTGCTCTGCGCGCTGGTGTCCTTCGCTCAAAGCCAACTCTAGCCGTCTTATATGTCACTCTGTAAATTATCTAAAAGCCTCACGTCAGGCCTCTCAGGCCCCATCTCTTAAGCCTCCGTGTCACTCCAGGCTCTCGTGGGTTCCCGTGACACTCATGGGTGCCTTCATGCTTCGGCCCCCTCTTGCCTCTCGTTCGAACCACTTCCTTTGGTCTGCCAGGCCCTCTTATTGGCCTCTCTGGGATCTCTCGCAGGTGTGATCAGTTTACTATCAGGTAGGGGTGGCGTCTTTCCAGGACAATTTGACGGTGTAACGAAAACATGCAACAACATAACCACTGCACAAAACATGACCAATACATGCAATATAAAAAACTAAGTAAATACACTTCATATTAAAATATTAAAGAGGTAAAACACAACAAAACGTGCAAAACTTAAATAACTTGTCCCTTTCCACCCTGTGACAAAGGCAAACGCCACAAAGCTGCTACAGTATTTTCTTTTAATGCAAACTGGTGCACTTCACCACAAAGCACAAAGAAAACTTATCGTCACGGCATGAACACTATTATTAGCCAAACCAGAACACACTGCAGTGAGAAGCCTCATCAGCTTTAACTGTAAACAACAGGAAGTTGCTGCTTTGGTTTTACATGCAGGACTTTAAAAAAGACAAAATGAATTGACGTTCAGTCTTTCTGTTTATATACTTGATATTGACTATGAATGCCCCCTTGGAAGGTCTGGGCCTCCTTGTTCTGATGGTTGTTTAAGTGAAGTCTTCATTTCTCACTGCTGCGTCGACTGCAGCTGAATCAGTCTCTGTATAATGAAAAAACATTTAAATTACTGCAGTATTATTATATTCTTACACTACATTATTGTTATTATTATCATTATCATTATTATTTGTGAAGTTGCATCATGAAAAGTCTAATGGACAACTCTTTACGAAATCAGCACCTTTGTACCTTTTCTTTTTTTAACACCTCTGCTGAGAAACAGAGTGACCACAAAGAACTGAGCTTCCATGTTCTTTCAATGCAGACTGGCACATTTAACTACAGAGCACAAAGCAAACATGCTTTCACTACATGAACACTGTCATTAGCCAAGCCAGGACTCACTGCAGTGAGAAGACATTTTAGACTACAGTTAAACTAAAATCATAACTGTGATCTGGTCAGCATGGAGGATGTCATTCACTATCAAAATAATAAAACTGTAGAAGTGACAATCAGAATTTAAGGCACATATACTGAGGTACATGAGATTTAAAATGCTGATGACATATAAAATAGTGAAAGGGTAAATTTAGGGGGGAAGAGTAAATCTACTGTAAAAGGTTGAGTTTGGAGAAATGAGAAATGATTTTCCAAATGATGTCTTCACATTCCTTTCTGTGTTTAAAATGAACAGTCCTGTGTTGAAACACCTGCAGCTGAAATGTTTCTTTCTATCAGAAACAGGATGCTGGACGACTGCAGAGCTGTTAGCTTCAACAACAGACCACAAACACATCTCACAGTGAACAACACTCAATAAGTACCAGTATTGGGACTAACGCATTGTTAAGTAACATTAATCGTTACTGGGATTTAGATAGGCTCGTTATTCGTTACTTCGTGTGGTGGCTATCACGGAGCTTCCACAGATTCATTAACATTAGCAAGTGGTGGAGGCCAGCAGGTGGATGAGAGAAAGGTGAGGCAGGAGGAGGAGAGACCCGAAGCGGCCGCCGGTCCGAGTGTCAGGTGAACTGAACTTCAGGTAAGAAGTTATGACCTGCAGTCCATCTGTGTCAGATATAAAGTAGGTGGAGTTTATTTTTGTTATGCTGAATTTTCCGTACTGCGTGCTAGCTAGCATGATGGAGTTTCCATACAGCTGGGCGGGTGCTATGATGTTACTGATGTTGAACTTTATTTTGTTCATAAGGTTAATTATTAGAGTTGCCAGTTGTCCTGTAAAAACCGGAATCATCCCGTATTCAGAGGAAATATTACGGGTTTCGTATTGAGGTGAAAAGGAACATTTTGTCCCGGACTTCAGCTACAATGAAAAAGACACAAAGCTGAAGTTATTCTGTGTTTACGCTGCACAGCTGCCTCTTCTCCTCTCATCCTCTTACCCTCCCTCTCCTGTTGCTACTTCAATCATGAAAACTGATCAATGATCAGCTGATCGGCTCTCTTGTTTGTTTATCGCCCACTTTGCGCCAGAAGAGGAAACCAGCGGATGTCGCGCTAAACAACAGCAGCACGTTTAAGCTTGATCAGCTGTTGTTAGAATTTATTTAATATTAATTTCTAGTATCAGCTGATGTTTGCTGGAGCCACAGCTGTAAAGCTGCTGGTCAGGATGTCAGTTTGGACATGTGGTGAGAGGGAAACATGAAGATGAAACCAGGAGATGTCCTTACTGAATCATCAGAGCTGTGATGGAGAAACAGGTTTACCTTTTAGTTAACATGAATGAGTTGAAGGGAAGTTATGAACTGTTTCTGAGAGATAAATAACACCAGGATCCTTTTCTAAGTAGCTGACAGCTGGTAGCTGTGCAGGGGCAGGTCTAGCAAAGTGTTGCCAGGGGGGCCAGGTAGAGCATTAACAGAGAGAGGGGGGCACAAAGAAATACTTTCTTATTCTTATTCTCATTTAAAATGTCTAGCTTTTAAAGAATAATTATCTGAATCTTACAACAAACGATTGATAGATTGATACATATATACCATCAGAACAGTGTACATCACTGTCACAACAGTGTTTATTTTCATTCAAAGGCTTTATGATTTTTCCTATAATGGTGGGCCGGACCCGGGCCGATTTTTTGTCCCAGTCCAGCTCTGTATGCAGCTCATCTGCAGTCTGGTGTTACCTAAATCTTCCTATTCAGAAGGCAGAATTTCCGAGTTCTGAGTACAATCGAAAGATCATAAGATGGCGCCGGTGAGGTCGGCTGCCGTCACGACTGCTCCGACCACTTTTTCTTTGTCTTTGTTTTTTAAGTTAGTTTTCAGCGTTTCTAAATCGGCAAAATCATCACCATTGGGTACATTAGGTATGACAGTGACACTCTTGTTTCTATTGGTATACAATGTACTCACAATTCGAAGTTTTTAACTCCGGA